ATCATAAGAACTTTACCTTTTAAACATTTGACATTTTGCTTAAATTCAAATATTAAATATTAGTGAGATTTTAATCTGAAACAAAGCATAAGTAGTTCTACTTCAATTTTGCTCCAACCTTGTGTTCACCTTGCAACTATCACAGAGAAGCCTGAAACATTATTACCTATAATTTTTGACAAGCTTATCTCTGAAGAACATTACATGAAGTCCAAAAATCTGACTTCCTATTGTCCACAGGACAAAGAGTTATACCCATTCACCGGGGCAAGTGATGGGCATGGCTATTAAATAGCAATGTTTCAAGGTTTTATAAAGCTGCTGTAAAAGATTCAAAGCAACTAAAAAATTTAATGTTTATGGAATTTGTTCAGGATGTTAAAATGAAAGGTGCAATTTAATCGATGGCACGCTATTAAGAATTAGCTGTTTTCAACCTTTCTTCATGAAAAATGAGATATTCTTTAATAATTGACTGAATACTCCAGCACCCGCCACCTCTGAGACATTGGAGGTTATTTTCAAAAGATGACCAGAATACAGAAACACTAAATATTTCATCTTAATGATAATGTATGCTGCAAAAGATTTGAACTTTATATTGAGCTTTCAATTGACTTTTGATAAAAGACATTCTGGAATTTCTCTCTCTCCCTACCCCTCACCCCTCCATTAACTTTGTGCATGGAGCAGAGGTCAGAGCTAGCATTTAAATTCAGAATTTTTGCTTGTGAAATGGGTATGTTATTGGTTTAATTTATTCTTACTGCTGTGATTTTTAAAATTTGTTTGCATCAATCAAGGGCTCAAGCAGGTGGACCTCACAAGTTTCAATAAATCCAAGTCCAAGGTTTTGCTCCTGGATCATGGTAACCCTCTCTATCAATACAATCTAGGAGAATGTAAGGGTGGAGCACAGCCCTGCTGAAAAGGGCTTGGGGATAGTGGTGGATGGTAATCTGAATATGAGCCAGTAATGTGCCCTTGCAGCCCAGAAAGCCAACTGTATCCTGGATACATCAAAAGAAGTATGGTCAGCAGAGAGAGTGAGGTGATCCTGCCCCTCTTCTCTGTGCTGTTGAGACCTCACCTGGAACACTGCTTTTCGGTGTGGAGTGTTCAACACAGAAGAGGTGTAGACCTGTTGAATGCACATGGAGATGGGCTATAAAAATGGTCCATGGGGATGGAATACCTCCCCTACGTGGACAAGCTGAGAGAGCTGGGGCTGTTAAGCCTGAGGAAGAGAAGGCTCTGGGGAACCTGAGAGTGACAAAAAAGACAAGGATCTCTTGGAAAGAGTCCAGCGGAGGGCCACGAAGATGGTGAAGGGCCTGGAGCATCTCTCCTATGAGGAAAGGCTGAGTGATCTGGGTCTGTTCAGCCTTGAGAAAAGGAGACTGAGAGGGGACCTGATCCAGGTCTATAAATATCTAAGGTGTGGGGGGCAGAATGGCGAGGCCAGACTGTTTTCAGTGGTGAGTGGAGACAGGACAAGGGGAAACGGCTGGAAACTGCAGCATAGGAAGTTCCGCACAAATATGCGCAAGAACTTCTTTACAGTGAGGTGACGGAGCACTGGAACAGGCTGCCCAGGGAGGTGGTGGAGTCTCCTTCTCTGGAGATGTTCAAGACCTGCCTGGATGCCTACCTGTGCGACCTGCTATAGGGAACCTGCTTTGGCAGGGGGATTGGACTCGATGATCTCTGGAGGTCCCTTCCAACCCCTACAATTCTGTGATTCTGTGATTCTGTGACTTTTCAATATCTAAAGGGAGGCTGTAAGAAAGAATGAGATAGACTCTTTAGCACGATCTATTTTGACAGAACAAGGGGAAATGGTTTCAATTAAAAGAAAGGAGATTTAGATTTGACATGATGGAAAAGGTTTTTGCATAGTGAGAGTGGTGAAGAACTGAAGCAGGTTGCCCTGAGATACATTGGATGCCCCATCCCTGGAGACATTCAAGACCGGGCTGGATCAGGCTGTCAGCAACTGATCTAGCTGAAGATGTCCCTGCTTATTGCAGAGAAGTTGTACTAGATGACCTTTAAGTGTCTTTTTTCTATTTAAATGACTGTATGACTCCATGGCTTAAGGATACACAGTGTTGAGAATATATATATATTTCAGCATATAAAAATAAAAAGAGAAAAAGGCTCCTAATTTGTCTTGCAGTGTAGCAATAATAGCTTACCACTCACATAGTTCTCTCTTTTGGAAGAATTTCAAAAAAAACTCAAAAACATTATCTCTACTGTTTCCAAATATGAGATATGTGATCAATGGTTCTGTGTTAGGATGGAAGCCGGTCACAAGCGGTGTCCCTCAGGGGCCGGTCTTGGGACCAGTGCTCTTCAACAGCTTCATCAATGACACAGATGATGGCATTGAAGGCACTCTCAGCAAGTTCGTGGATGGCACCAAGCTGAGTATTGCAGTAAATACAATGGAGGGAAGGAAAGCCATAGAGAGGGACAGACCTGGACAGGCGGGAGAAATGGTCCCAGGAGCCCAGAAGGCCAACTGTGTTCTAGGCTGCATTAAAAAAGAGGTGGTCAGCAGGGAGAGGATGGTGATTGTCCCCCTCTACTCAGCTCTTGTGAGGCCCCATCTGGAGTACTGCATCCAGGCCTGGAACCCCCAGCACAAGAAAGACATGGTGCTCTTGGAATAAGTCCAGAGGAGGGCCACTAAGATGATCAGAGGGCTCGAGCACCTCTCATATGGGGAAATGTTGAGGGAACTGGGCTTGTTTAGCTTGGAGAAGAGAAGGCTCTTCCAGTTGTGGCCTTCCCATACTTGAAGGGAGCATATAAACAGGAAGGGGAATGACTATTTACGAGGGTGGACAGTGATAGTACAAGGGGGAATGGTCTTAAACTGAGGCAGGGGAGATTTAGGTTAGATATTAGGTGGAAGTTTTAACCCAAAGAGTGGTGGATGACATACTGGAACAGGTTGTCCAAGGAGGTTGTAGATGCTCCATCCCTGGAGGCATTCAAGGCCAGGCTGGATGTGGCTCTGGGCAGCCTGGTCCAGTGGTTGTTCACCCTGGCCATGGCAGGGGGATTGAAACTACATGATCATGTGGTCCTTTTCAACCCAGGCCATTCTATGATTCTACAAGTATCTGTATTAGGCCTTGTATTTTCCCTAAATGAAACACTTAATTATTAGTATTCTAAAAAATAAGTCTTCAGGCATTTATACAGTGACTACCCAGTCACTTAGAAGAATTTAAAAACTACAGTCTTTTGTATATTTGAGTGTCAATAATGCATTCTAACTTTCGATGATTTTTTCCTTCCTGAACTGACCCTCTGAGATTACCTCTTAAGAACAGCCTTGTTCAGAAAAGAGAAATGAATTTATAGTTTGGAAATAGGAGCAGTCAAACCATTTGTATGCTCCTTTTCATATCAGCTTCTTTTCTGAAAACAAAGAATTCTTTCTTCTGTTACTGTTATTGTCTTCGTAGAATCACAGAATCATAGAAAGACTTCGTTTGGAAGGGACCTTAAAGACCATCTAGTTCCAACCCCACTGCAATGGACAGGGTTACTAAGCACAAAATCCAATTGCCCAGTATCTCATCCAGCCTGCCCTTGAATGCTTCCAGAAATGGAACTTCCATAGCTGCTCTGGGCAGCATGTGCCAGTGCCTCACCGCACTGAGTAAAAAATCTTTTCCTAACATCTAGACCAAATCTGCCCTCTTTAAGTTTTAAGTCATTCCCTCTTGTATTATCAGTATCAGACTGTAAAAAATTGATACCTTTCCTGCTTGTAAGCCCCCCTTTTTTTCTTTTTTCTTTTTTAAGCTACAAAGAGTGAGATGGTTCAGGCACATTTTATACTTTAACTACTGAGTTGTAGGATGTGATGTCATCATTTGCACTCTAAGACTCTGAAAAGTCTGTTGACAAAGAGTATCAATGAGAGGCAAATGCATTCAACAACTCCTTGTCTTAAGCCTTGTGAAACAAATAAAACTTGGGATTTACTCCCACCATCAAGAAAGTTGGTGCCAAAGTTCTTGCAGTCTGGACAGGTATGAGCTGGTGCAGAAAATGAAGTTTGGGACTGAAGGATGATGCCAAGGTCTATGGAAGACAAAGAGGAAGTCTCAGTCATAGTAGGAGAAGATAAATTGGAAAAAAAATGCAGAAAACACAAAATGTTGCTTGCTTTGCATTATTTAGCTGGATGAAGCTTAGAACCTACAAATTCACTTCATCAAGGCAGAAGAAAGAAAGAACAGAGAGGACATCAAAACACGTATATTGTGGCAGATCAGTGACCACGCAGCTTCTGCAGCCAAGCTCTTTGAAGGGCACGTGCTGAGCTGTAGAAGTTTGAAGTCAAAAAGTTTATTTCACTCAGTTATTCATGGTGCTGGTTATGAAATAGCATTGTGCTATTTGTGCAAACAAGCACATTTTCTCTTTTGGTCCCAAACACTGACATGAGTGTGAAGTGGTGAATTCCTGCGTTGCCTGGGGTTTGTGAGAATGGGGAATGACAGTCCTGACTGATCTCTGAGCAATGGAAGTAGAGCATTTCTTGCTTCCATCAGCTCAGTAGGGGCTCAGTTCTTTCCCATAAGCCTTAAGAGAAGTAATTTCTTAGTGCTTCTTTCTGTCTGTATTATACACGATTGCAGAGAAAAGTACGGTGCTGCAAAAATATTCACCACAGTGTAGTAGTTGGGGTATGTGCATGTTACATTCTAATTACCTTAATAACTTTGATTAAGTCTAATTATTATAAAGCATTCGAGAATGCACTGATGTCTTACTGTACAGTTTTTTTCACGTGTAAGCTTAGAAAGGAGACTGAGGAGGAAAGCACCACTGAACTTAAATTGAAAGCTTCACTAAATGAACAACTCATCTCCCAAATATTCCTCAGATATTCTACTATAACTGTTGACAATAGTTCCTTTGCTTTTCTTGAGTTCATTTTTGCATTTGAAAGTACAGCAACGGCGCATAAAGTATTGGGATGAAAAATAGAAGAAGAAAATATAGTGACCTCTTTCAGCTACCTCACAAATACACTTTTGCAGTTGGATATACATGCACAAAAGTCTCTCATGAGAACTCTGTGCAAGGAAATGCACCATGTCTGTCACTAAAAGAAAAAAGGAAACGTCATCACTCCAAGTGGTGTTGATTAAAACAAAAAGGATTTCCTGGTGCCAGCAGTTGAAACAACTGTGTGGAAAGTAGCAAAGAGGTATTACTGTATTGTTGCCGCTTTCTTAGGAAAATTCCAAATAAACTGAAGGATTCTTGTCAATATTTGTACAAGAAAACATGCTGCTGCCTGTTTCTGAGGCGCTTAGAATACGTGTGCATACACACTCTTGTCCCCATGTGCAAAATTCTTGAGAAACTTTATTACAACCAGACAAAAAAGACACACTTGGAGTTTGGTGCACTCTTTCTCATGCTAATATTTACAACATTGATCTGTTATTGTTGGTATTTGATCTACATTTCTTCCAGCTTGAGTCAATGGAAGGCACAGCTGCTGGAACCATGTATTGTGTGGGCAGCATGCCTTTGTCTTCTGCAGCTGAGGAGTTCTCATGGCCACAATGGCAAGTCTGAGCATACTAAATTAGGAAAGATTATTGTTTCATTTATTGACTACACAAGTTTAAAACAGCAAGTATATCATTTGTTTCGTGTTGTATTTGTTAGGGTCATATTCACCAAAAGCTGGACACATGGTCACAAATATAGGGCAGCTGTACTTCCAGCAACCCAATAGGGAGAAAATTGCAAACATTATTGAAATGGAATTGGATGGTTGGTTGCTTTCATGAGACATAGCCTCCCACCTGCCTTCCCCCATCCATCCATTTGTGAAGACTTGCTGCAAGCTTCCCTTCATCTTTTTGCATCCCAGCTCCTTCCCAGTAAAGTGTTTATCCTACTGTACAATTTGTTTTAAGCAAATCTGGTTTCATAGTGGAAGACAAGCAAGTTCAATTTTTGAGCTCAGTTCTCCAAATGTTTCTTTCATGTAATGGTCTACAGAAAAAGGAAGGCAGTAATTTTAGCTGGAAAGAAATATCACATTGGAGTAGCAAAAAAGGAGGGGAGAAAAGAGAGAAAAATCTATTTAACACTTTAGGATATAATGATATTTGAATAATATATTTTTCTGCCATTTATTCAGTTGTGAAGGAACTCAGTGAGTAATAATAGCTGCTGTCAAAGATATTTATATTTAAGAAGGTCTTTATGTAAAATCATTTTTTTTTATCAGGAGTGATTTTTCTCCAGGAGAATTCTGCCATCTCCTAGCAACCGATATGGCTATCTTTTTTAACAGATGCTGCAGTAACAATGGGTGCCTAACCTTTATATGGAAGCATTTGCACATGTACAATCAGGTCACTTATGAATTCAAACCCAGTTTTTAGGGTGCTCTGAGGGAGACGCTGGCTACCACTTGATCTACTGCGCATTTCATCTACCAAAGATTTTTTAATGGCAACCATTTTAATTGTAGCTGAATATTTCCCAGTGAACTTCCAACTAGATCTGCAAAGGGACCCACAGCTGCCTTCTACCTGTGTTCCCTCCCATGAAATGAATAGAATAATTTATCAGCTAAGGTTTTATTTCCTTCTTCTCCTTTCTGACTGTGTCACTCTACTTGCAAAGCAGTAGTATCCCTTAAATTTGCTAGCTCAGGGCTTCTTTAGATATATAAGTATAAAAAAACTGCACAAAGACCATATCTGCAAGTGGATAATTACAGCTTTGAGATCCATAACTAAATTAAGTACCTATCACTAACGGTAAGTTCTTTCACTTTCTCCACTTGGTCATTTAGGTATTGTGAACCATGCAGATTTAGAAGACTTCCCCGAGGGAAAAATCTGACTAACTGGAACATGCTCAGGCCCGTTTTGTTGATTCAAACTTACATGCCTGAAGACCTGCTGAGGATCATGAGCTCACATACCACCAGGAGTGAACTCTGTGAAATAAAAAGAGAATAACCATGCAAAAAAACAAACAAAAAAACCCAACAACCCTCAAGTGTGGTACCCCAGGAGCTGTGTGCTACGTAGCTTCCAGAAGCTCAGCTCTACAGGATGTCTGTGCTATAGCCCAAAGGCTATTCTGAAACAAGTTTCAGTAAGAGACCCTCCACATTTCTGCTTTAGAAGTAACTTAATAGATGTATTTATTTATCTATAACTTTTGGATCACATTATAGACGTCTCCCTATAACTTTATATGTTCGTGCTTTTACAGATAGCTTTCATCAAGTAGGTTGGATGCTTTGAGGCTGTAACACTACAGAGTGGTTTTGGACCCAGAAGTTCTTTTAAATTACATTTTTACTTATGCTACTTTTTTTACAAAAAAATTTAATTTGTGTAAATCATAATTGAAATATTTGATATGTGAGGGACAAAAAGAGAAAACTGCAAAATCTTGGTGTAGGTGAGATTGATAGCAAATGTTCTCTGAGAGTCTGATGCGTGTCATTAGAGTACTAAACCACAAATCTTTAAATTTGTTCTACTAAGAGAATTCATTAATATTAGATGAATTCTATTCACTACACAAGTGCAAAATTTGAGAAATTTAGCCTCTTTTTCTGTTTGTAGAGTATCAGTGATGATAAGCCTCTGTTTCGTATGGGCATAAGATTCGAACGGGTGTTCTGAGTCATGTGGAGCAGCTAGGACCTCCTGAATACCACTCTCTTCTATTCCTGTCAACCACATTGCATTCAGAGATGTACCAAGTTCTATCTTAAAAATAATTAAGCTTCTATCTTGCTTCTCTGGCAATTGAAAACCCTCTTCAAATTTTCCAGTGCAATCTTACGCAGGATTTTTTTTTTTTTTAATCAGTGTTGGATGAACTTTTATTTTTCAGCTTTACTAGCTTTTCTTCTTCTCTAGTGTATTCTCTTTTCTCAGCATCTGGTTTGCTAAATTAAGCCAGCATCATCTAAATATTCTTTCTATTCCTTGGACCATTCTTCTTTTTTATGTTTTTATTTTTGGGTATCTGTACAGATTTCTTCTATTATTGTTTGACTTAATGCAGTTATTTCTTACTAATTTCATGATTAGTGTGTAAGCATTAAATAGCCAATATTTATTTAGTTCTGATTGGTCTCAAGTATTTTGTTACTCATAGTCTTTCTTTACATCTTTTTTTTTCAGCTTACCTAGCATCTATTGATATTACAGTATTCAGTGGGCTGAATCAAACTCATAATAGGAGGATGGAAAATGTCACATTGTTTTCTCTTTTGAAGGTTACATTCAGAATTATTTGCAGTAATACCAGGCAAATAAAATTAGATCATTTTAGAACCATTTAAATATGTTTTTCTGCATCACACATGCCTTGCCAAGGGTTATAACACAAGAAATCATCCCATTTTATTAGAAATTTATGAAGGTAGTGATTCAAAAATATTTACAGTCTCTCTTCTCATGTCTAGCCTGTTCTATGTCTATTAAACCTTCCTTTCAATCATTCTACATGGTCCTCTTGTTACCTGTAATGAAATTGCTAGATGGCAATGGCTGGATGAGTTATTACTGACTGATTTCAGTGATATTTCTTTTTTGCTTACAAAGTGAACTTCTTTCCCTTGTTACTTGTGTATATATCTAGACTCTAGTTAGCTGTTTCCTATTTAGACATCCCAAATTTCTCTACTTGATTTCAACTTGAGTGAATGAAGCACACTGCAATAAATGAGGAAAGAGCTGCAAAGAAGGAATGTGATTTCTAGGGGGGATCACTGGCAGATCACAAACTAAAGTATGTATCTGACATAATAGGTCATAGGGCAGGAGAAGGTTTTGGTTCTGAGCAGAAAACATGAAATAATTACCTAAGAGAGAAAGTGATAACAGAGAGCAGTTGCACAACACTTCTTGGATCTCTGACTTGTTACTTATGCTGTCCTTGATCTTTCTCTTGATGTTTAATGTAGTTGCTTTCTGAATCAAGTTAGATTTTGTATATTCTATCAAAAAAAGCAAAGATGAGAAGATTTTTAGGTCAGTTTTTCTTTTGTAACACAACAAAAAACATACCACATATAACCAGAGATCAAGAAAGCTTTTGATTAAGAAAAGGTGTAATTTGAAGAAACATATTTTTGCCAGTAAATGCCAAAGGTTAGTCTCTGCAAGTAGGGAAATAGTTCCTTTTCTACTATAAAAGCAGAAGGGTGTGTGTGTGGGGGGAGGGGGGCTGATCCTTTTCCTTGCTTGGAAAACGCTGCACTGGAACTTGCTTTCGTTATTGCCAATGTACTGAGAGCTCCCCCTCCTGTTATATCTTCCTTTTAAGTGCGTGCAGATCTCATCTCAAAATCACAGATTTCTGTCATCCATTTTTTTCTGAAGTATGATGTATCAACACAGAGAACATTTTTCAGTGCTGATTATGGACATTTCCACGAGTTTAAGGCTAAATTAAGAGAATGGAGAGGAGGAGCTTCTTCCCAGGACTTTTGCATGCACATGCACTTTTCACATATTTAACTTTGGGAATATGCAATTCATCATTCTTCTTAGTTTTCTGCCTATAAGAAGAGGCCAATAAGATTTCATCCTGTAGAAAATTAATGAAAATGCTGGGAATTTGATTTTTAAAATTCCACATGTAGATTCAAATTAGAAAAAAATAAAAAAAGACGTAAAATTTTTTTCTTGGACAGCCAGATTTAAGGAATATCACCTGTTCAAATTCAAGGAGGGACACCATGGAAAACCAAGGAAAAAGTGATCAGAATGTCATATTAGTGGCTCATTACATGGGGGCAAGAAGAGCTGAAGACTGGTGAAGAAGACCAACTTGTGACTTTGAGGGAGAAGTATATCAAAAGGAGTTGGATCCACGCTGTAGAAGGTTCTTAGTTGTTACCACATCCTTAGTATAGAAATTGAATGCAATATAGATGATGATATATAACAACAAATTTTAATGAGACTGCAATTGGTATCATATAGACTTCTAATTCAGAAAGCATAGAATCTTGGATAATGGTGTACATCCTTTGTAATGACTTCATTTCTCCAGGTTACTTGATAGCTAATGAACAACTGCAAGGACCATCAAAGGTTGGTAACAGAGTAACATTCCTAGCAATTATTTTTTTTTCCCCCAAGGGAAAGAGGATAGAGGAAATAACCTGCTGGTAAAGTTAAATGGTCAAAGAAACAGATACTTGATTTTGTGGAACACTGTTCACTTCTGTGCAAAATGTGGGTTGCATAGTTTGAATATCAATAGGTGGCAAATAAAGATTAAGTATCTGTCTGTAGTAGATATTTGTAACATTCACATTACTTACCCAATGGAGAAGAATGTTGCTTATCTTTGTGACAGACATAAAGAAACAGATCTCAAAATGAAAAGCAGCGACTACTGAGGTACCCAAGCTTATGACAGTTACATTTTATTTCTATAGACAGAATAGAGCTCCAACCCTGCGGTGGAAATTGTTCTTTAAAAAAAGTTAGGTTGTTGTCGAAAAGTATTCTCAACCACTTGATATGACGTTTCAACATTTATCTTTTCTTGCCTTTTGTATTTTACTGTCTTGTATCCCTTCACTTCTTCCTTTTATTCAGAGAGCTACTTATTCTATCTGTTCTTCACTACTTTCCTCTACATCCTCCCTTCAGATTTGTCTTCTGAATCAAATACTTCTATTCTGTTTTCTCACAGTAAACACATTTATCCAAAGAAAATGGGTATATGAGTCAGAGGCAGAAGGGAAGATTTGAAAGTCACAAAATCTCTTTGTGTAAGGCATTAAAGAAAATGAATAAGAATAAATTTACAAGATATGTAGCAAGGGTTAATGATATTTTGGACTGTCTTATATAAGTTTTATTTTTCAAGGGTTCTTGCAATTCTTTTTCCACAGATGAAGTTCTTCTGGAAAACTACTCAATTAGTTTTTCATTTTTAGTTAAGAAGATAAGCTAGATTTCATAAGATCTTTTTTTCTCAGTGTACTGAAGTGAAACACAAGGAAGTTAGAAGAAATTTATTCCCTATGTTTGAGATTTTTAGTTGTATGTAGATATATTTTAAATAAACTTGTATGAACAAGAAGACATTCCATTTGAGGGGTGGCCTTCCCTAATCATATTTGTCTTCATGAATTCATAGAGAACACAGAAGGACTCAATAATCTTTTTTTTTTTTTCTTTTTTTCTCTCCCTTTCTTCTTGCTTTTCCTTTTTGTCTATTTATTTATTTATTTGTTTGTTTATTTATCTCTCTCTTTCTCTCTTTCTTTCTCTCTTTTTGTCTTTTTTCTCGTTCTCTTTCTTTATCTCTACTTCTCCTGTTTAACCCTCCTTTACTGTCTTTTGTAGCCTTGCAAGAGATAGACACAAGTCTTGAAAAGTTCTGGGAGCCAGTGGATGACGCATCTCTTGAAAAGTTCTGGGAACCAGTGGTTTGCAAAACATAGTTCTGGTGACATGAGAACTCAGCAAGTCACAGTTTGAAAGCTGAGACTGGATGCCTGGGAAAGAAACACTGATGTCTGAAAGGAAACAGGGCCTCAGGAAGGATACGGTGAGTCTGGGACTTGCAGAACTCATTGTCTCTAGAACTGCAGTTGCTGAGACATTTCAGTGCTTTAAAACAGTGCTTTTGTTTTGTCTGCAGAAAGGAAGATTGCACTTTTAGCTTAAGGTTTGAAACATCAGGCTTCATACTCCATGTAATTTACTGATTCCTTCATTTCTATGAAGCTAAAGAAGACCTGAAGATACCAGTGTATCCCAGGAGATGGAGATCTTAAAGATCCTGACTCTTAAAGGTGAATGTGTCTGTTTTAAAAAAACCTTACTTAAGAATGATTTCACAAGTGAATTGCATAAAAAAAAGGGTATTCACGTCTTTTGTATTGTCTTGGTTTTGGGTTTGTTTCCCAGAAGAAATGCTACTATTCTCTTTCTGTTACATGGTTCACTTTTCTTACAACTCCAGCCTACTGACAAGCTTGGCAGACTCACATAGTTACAGGAGGGTTTCTGGATCCCACTGCTGTAAAACTGCTCAATAACCCATGCCATTTATTCTGCAGGGACAGGAAAAATGAGTCTACTTCGTTGCTGTTGTGTGTACCACATACTGAGGAGTTATGGATAAACAACAGCAGCAGCTAGTGAAGCATCTGTATTTGGCTGGCCACACTAATGGACAAAAAGGAGGATTTTCTTCCTAATTCTACATTAACATTAGTGATTATGTGTTTATTTGCTGATTACAGATAACTCAGGGCAGAAAACCGTGACAAGAAGGTAAGAGATTGTGTGAAACAGATGGAGAAATGTAATGGGAGGGAGGAAAGGGAAAGAGTGAGGTCATTGCCCTGGAGATTAAAGCACAGTTCAAGACTTCTTCCTATCAGAGAGGAATATAGCAGAAGAATAGTTTTAGAGGTTGGTTTTCATCTGTGTTTTTTTGTTTGTTTGTTTGATTTGAGTACGTAACAGTACAGAGTATAGAATAGGAAGTGAGCAGTCAGAACACAGGTGATGTAACAGATTTTCACTTTTATGTTGTCGCTTTAAGGCAAATGACTAGAAATGTTTACCCTAAGAGTGCCGACCCTGATACATGGCTACTGACTGCTGTTTATTTGTACAAGTTTCATTATGGTGGACCAGCAGCATCTGTGTTTCATAGGGTGTGGTAGCAGTACAAACTGGCATAGTAATTTATTTATTAGTAGTGTCACTTGGTTTGAAAAAATGTAATATCTGTAATACAGATTTGCATATATTTTACACAAGAAAGATTTTATTTTCCAGAAGTGCATTTAGTTATTTTAAAAATATTTCAGCACTTTCAGCAACCTCAAGCTTGTATGAGTTACCAGAACAATCTCTATGTATTACTCAGACTGAATCTCTTTGTATTTTAGGGTAATGAATGGCAGTATTAAGGTAGTTCTGTTAACATTTGACTACTGTCTCTGTTGCTTTACCATAATTATTCTCCTTGTGACATGTTGCTGTAAACCTGGGGAGATGTGTATATTATAGTAAAAATTTAAACACTTTAGAATCTCTAAATTAAGCAGATAAATAGAAAATGTTAAGCATTTATTGTGTATTTCATTTTCTGATCTCAATGCATTTCCCAGTGAAACAAAAAAAAACCTGAACAGCTTTATTAATATATTTCATGGCATTCCTGTGTTATGGGAACAATATATTCTCAAGCGCTCCATGCATCTGAAATTTGTCTCGATGTGGCCCATTTATTTTAATTTCAGTCTGTCAGTAGAAAAAAAGAAGTAATTAAACTTGTGACTAGCATGGAGAAACGTTTTGCGTTCTAAACTGTAGCTTGATACTCAGTAGTTTCTTTATATTTCTTCCAGTTGTCAGATCAAAGTCTCTCAAGTACTATAACTCAGCCATGCTTTGATTAATTACTTCACACAATGAATTTGCAAATTATATTTCTGAAGTGATTTATGTACTTTTTAACTCCAATCAACTCTCTCTCCTCCCTGCTTTTTTTTCCTTCCTCTCTACTCCAATCTCTGTTCTGATGTTATTTTATGCTTAACAAATCCGTATAAACAGAGCAAAGTCTTACCTGAACAGTGCAACTGAGCAGAACTATAGGGATCACTTAAACTGTCATCACCCACCAGCAGTCCTCATCAGGTCATGAGCCTCACTGCTTTGTGCAAGTACATGAAGTCCCTCCCTAAGAATTCTCAGCTGCAGTGGTTTTGTTCCAGATAGAGCTACTGGAATAGCTGAGCCGAGGCAACATTTAAGATGCATGTTCAAACCAAATATTTGATTACTGCAGTTAGACTTTGGTAAATGGTATTTGGAGAAGTAATAACTTGTTCGCAACAGAGATGTTGCTTGCCTGGGCAAAGTTTAGTATTTGTATTTGTGGTTTCATTGGACAGTTTAACGTGACATACTGTTATTCATCTTTCACCCATTTGCATTGCACAGTGGTATCTAATCTCTCTTTGAATGTATTGTGTTCATAAATATCCATGCTGTCCATACAACTTGATCTGATATACCTCTGAAAGAGTATTAAGATTTACTTCTCTCACTATCCCTAAGTCATCTTCTCCTTAGCTCTGAAACAATGCATACATTCACCACCTTTAGAAGTAATTTTGATTTAAGTGCTGCTTGGTTTTAATTAAGGGGTTAACTGGACAAGGAGGTAGACTTGGAAATGATGATCTCCAGAGGTCCCTTTCAATCCCTGCAATTCTGTGATGTGGCGTAGCAGTGAAGGACCTATACTGGGGTCCTGTTTACACATGTGACTGGAGTACTGTCCTAAATGCTCTCATTCCTTCTTACCACTTCAATTTAATTGTTTTGCCCATCCATATAGAAAACTGCACAGAATACATGTTCAGTGCTAAATGAGCTGAGATCTTGAAGTAAGAATTCACTCCCTGACTTGCTTTTAAAGTATACTAACTGGTCTCTGTGAGACAAAAACCACCCACGGTTTTGGGGGACTGTTCATTCTGAAGGCCTCTCAAGACAGGAAAAATAAATTCTAGTAAAATTCAGTAAATTTGGCTCTTTAACACTTTTGCCAAGCTTTAAACAAACAAACACTTTTGTGCCGTGTCCTAGGACACATAACTTTATTAGTGTATGATACATAACTTCTGTGCTGATGGACTAAAGCTTTGATCTCATGATGTTTTAAACACTCTGAACCAGGAGAAAGCCCACAAAAAATACATGGAAAACCACCAAAATGGGGCAGTGGGGATACCTGTGGCAAATGTCATGCAGATGAAGCCAGTCTGCTGTAGATGAGGACAGTCAAGGCACAGATATGAAGGCATTCTACAGCACCTGGCCCAGAAGTGAACAATCAGTCTCTGAGACATAAACATTCAGCCATATATATACAACACCTTTGGATTATGCTGTCTGTCTCAAGTCACGTCTCCAATGACAGCTAGTAATGGAGGCTTGAGGTAATGAGTATACATTTTAATAAAATGTAGAGTAATACTTCTATATAGAATTATAGAATCCCAAGGACCTAGAAGATCATCTAATCCAACCATTCTCCAATTACCCTTGCTACCACAAGCACTAAATCATATCTCGTTGTTCCTCATCCAGACGCCTCTTGAACGCTGCCAGGGACGGCGACTCCACCACCTCCCTGGGCAGCCATTCCAGTGCCTGACCACTCTCTGAGAGAAAGTTTTCCTTATGTCTAATCTAAACCTCTGCTGGCACAACTTGTGGCCATTTCCTTGGGTCTTGCTTGTTTCCTGGGAGAAGAGGCCAAACCCCTTCTCATCACAATATAAGTTGTAGAGTGCAATAAGATCTTCTCTGAGCCTCCTCTTCTCCAGACTAAACAATCCCAGCTCCCTCAGCTGCTCCTCATAAGACTTGTACTCCAGACCCCTCACCAGTTTTGTTGCCCTTCTAAGGACACATTCCAGGGCCTTGATGTCTTTCTTGTACTGAGGGGCCCAAAACTGAACGCAATGCTGGTTGTGCTTTCTATCTTCAATTTTAAAAAGCTTAATTAGTCCTGCACCTAATCCTGGACATTGGTAAATGCACATCTATTTTGATTAGCCAGGAAACATTTCTCAGAGAAATTTTCTTGGTCTCTCTGGAACTTCGTATTATCCCGACATTTTGGTAAGAGTTTCAGCAGACTGAAACCCTTTACGATTCCTGTGCAAAATAATTTCCCATCATGTTTACTCTTTTGCTACTGAACTGCTAATTTCACCTAAAAAGCAAACTTGGAATTATCTTAACTAATATGAACAATACTTGTATATGAATACACTTTACACAGTGCTTAATTTGGTCACTGGAGCCAGGGACACTATAAGTTTTGATATTGCCTGGTTTAATAGTTTTCATTGCACTTGTCAAATTTTATTGCAATGTTATTGTGCAGCTGTGCAGTGCCATTATAAGCTGGGACATTGCCTTCATGTTTTAAAAAAGCAAATCCAGACAACTCATACTGAATGCCCATGAGAGTAAAAATGAATCTACATTTACCATATGCTTTTGCATGACTCTCCATAAAGATACAAAAAATACATGTAAAAATCACATGTAAAAAATTATTTCATGTAAAACGTTGTTTCCTACTTCTAGGATCCAAATCGACAAATGAAAGTGTCAGCAAGCTGAGTCCCAACTTTGCATGAAATAGCAGTAATGGGAGGGATCTTAATAATATGCATGGGTTAATTTTTGCAGAAGGTACAGTAAAAGATCCTCTTTTTATGAAAAGAAAAGTAGTGACCCCATTGCTTTGTCTAGACATGAGAAACCAGTGGACATGCCATAGCAGTAATGTATTGTTGAACTCTTACTGTTAGGATGTCAACATCTTATGCGTATTGAGGCAGGAAATTCAAATGTTCTTCAGCCATGTAACAAATGTCTCAAAAGACTGCTATTGTTGTAGAGCAAATCAAAATAATACATTCCTGGAAGGACTTCATGTTTCTTAAAGTAGAATTCATTCATCTTATGTTAGTTTTTCACCATGATTATACGTATCTGTGATCATCTTTGTAAAGGATCTGCTGGGACACATGAAATGTACTTCTTTATAAATAAAAATGAAGTTCAAAAGTAATTTTTTCTTTGTACCTATTATTTTCTCCATGTGTATGAATTCAGATGCTTCTCTACTGCTTATTATATACAGTCAAATCTATCTAAACATATTTTGTTTTCTCATTATATAGCTTATTACTCTCACTAGTCTGGTAGACATTTTGATATATTTTACAGTTTAGGATTTCATGTATTATACATACATTGTTCTCCCCTTTCAGTCCACGTGCTGCTTTCCTTCCTTCCTTCCTTCCTTCCTTCCTTCCTTCCTTCCTTCCTTCCTTCCTTCCTTCCTTCCTTCCTTCCTTCCTTCCTTCCTTCCTTCCTTCCTTCCTTCCTTCCTTCCTTCCTTCCTTCCTTCCTTCCTTCCTTCCTTCCTTCCTTCCTTCCTTCCTTCCTCCCTCCCTCCCTCCCTCCCTCCCTCCCTCTCTCTCCTTCTTTTTCTTTCTTCATCTCTCTCATTCTTTCTTCCCTTGCATTTTTTTGTTTGTTTCTTTATTTTGTTTTGTTTAAATAAAAGTAGGTGGTATTTCCTTTCAAACATCACCTAAAATTGCTTTGAAGAAGAAACCAGTTAAAATGGTTTCTTTTTTTATTTTTTACCTTTACCTGCTTTCCTTCCCCAGAGTCTTCCCAAGAGATTGCTCCCTGATTGTTTGTATAAGCAAATCAGCAGGCTCCAGTCTATTAAGAGCAACATCCAAACAAGAAATGGCTTCCATATTGTGCCAGCACAACTCTGAAATCTGATGTGTGTGGGAAATCTGTTTTTACACACAAAGAATATCACCTGGTTTAAATTGAAACAGTGCTTGCTGAACAATTCTATGCCTATTTAGATAAGTTAAGGATTTGGCCCCCCTTTTTTTTTTTCCTTTGAAAGGAAAAAAAAAAAAAAGAAAGAAAGAAAAAAAGCTGATTTCCAAATGAAAGTATGAGCAGACATTTATTTGTCCCGAACAAGTTTTTTCATAAGGAGTTTCCAAAATCTTGGAGAAAGGTGTGTTGACTACCTTCACAGTCTTAAGAGACAGAAAAAAAAATCTCAGGCTGTGTCTGGGGCAGGACCTTTCAAAGTAACTTTTCTTCAAAGGACCAGAGAATATAACCCTGAAACATCTGGTTTCTGTTTCAATTGGAAGCGCAGAGAAGGTGCCTTCTATGTAATTTCAACATTTAAGATACGAAAAAACACGTATTTTTGTCTGGGTTCCAAGAGAAGGGCAGCTGCTGTCACTGTGTTGCCTGTCATTATGCCCATTCTCATTTTTTTTCTCTTTATAACTTCAGGATCCATTGGCCAATTTCCAAATAAGGCAGAGAGGTAGATGTACAAAAGATACTGACTTCTCACATGGTTCATGGAAATAGCAGCCAAACAGAGAACCTCTATGCCCTCAGTGAAGATTAATGATAGGGCATGAACTCAGGAAAAGACAAAAAAGTTATGAATGGTTTAACTGGAAGTGGGAAAAAATGTGACGCAGAACAAAATCTTCCTAGTCATTGCAAGAATTTTTGTTGTCAAGAAATGTCCATGATATTACTCACAGCTGACAAATTAGTCATCTGACATCTATTAAAGCACAAACACAGTTAGGATGTATAATCATCTTTCTGCTGCATAGATTACCTAGCTTATAAAAAAGTATCTTTATCTTAATTCAGCTAAAACAGATAAGAACCACATTAAACAAATCCTCTGGAAACTAGGCCTTTTAGTTTGAAGGCTCACATTAGATCAATTTGTAGGTATGAGTCAAGAGTGGACAGCTTGTATCTGTTTGGTGTCCGCTGCAATACCCATTTCATCTTCTCTACAGCCACCACAGACTTTACTATTTCTTCATGCTTGCCAATTTGAGTGTTTAGCCTCATTCAAATCACCTCTTAAAACATTCTCTACATGTTGTCTTTTCACATTTAACTCACAATAAAAAATGAATGAGAATATTTATAGTCTATTTCAAAGTGTATCAACATAGATTGAACTTTCATGGTCTTCTCTCTAAGCGTGTATTTGCATATGATGAGAGACATTAAGCCAAAACCCATTATCATCCCATTTTTGTCAGGTACTACAGAGGACTC